CGTGCCCGGCCGTGTGTGTGTTTTATTCTGTGCCTTGTAACGTGATGCTGGCATTCATCTTGGTGCCCAGGTGGTCCTCGTTTTGGCCATTGGGAGCCCCTCCTGTGTCCTTTCTGCCCGCTTCCGTCCTGTCAAGCCTTCCCTTCCTCTCTGGTCCTGCAGGACAGTCTGGGCTCATCTTGTATATTCCCTGCCCCAGCCCTGGAATTGACCACCTCTCCTGCAAGGAGCCCTGGTTCCTCAGAGTGAGGATGAGATTCAGATACCATGGCCTGGGTGCTGGCCGTGCTCGACGCTGTTGGGATGTCATTGCTTCTGGATTCTCTCTGCCGACAGGGCTTGGAAATGGGAATGCCAACCCATGTGTCTGTGTGTGTCTGTGTCTATCTCACTGTCTGTCTCTTCCAAAGCTCCTGAGTTCCTGCTCATAGGGTGTACAGTGTTCATGTTGTGGATCTGTCTGAGGCTTTGGGTGGGCATCCCCGACCTGCGAGGGATAGACAGTTCCCTGGAGAAAGGAGGATCTTCCTGTGGGGCTAACGACATGGCTGGGAGGCAGGAAATGACCTGTCCCTTTTGAAGGCTGCCTGGGGCTTGTGGCCGTGGGAGAGGCGGGCTGGGCCAGGCACTCAGCCGTCCTGTGTCAGGTAACTTTGGCAGGTGTGTAAGTGAGAGGACCCTTCCTTCTGGTTCAGAGACTGCTGTTTTGGAGCTGGTGCCCAGCCCCAGGGCAGAAGGTAGGCAATGTGGTCTGGTGGGGGCCCAGCCTTCTGAACCCACCCGAGGGCTGGCCCTGGGGACTCTGGTGACTGGCAGCCCCATGGCCAAGAGCACCTCCTTTTGCAGGATTCTTGGGTGGCCAAGTCCTGGGGTTGCTAGGCCTTTGTGCTGTGGCACCGCTATCTCCCCCGAGATTCCTGCTGGTGGTCTCTTCTTCTGCCCCAACTTCCGGCCTTGTGGGAGGGGCTCGCAGAACCTGCACCGCATCTGCGGCTCCCTCAGCACCTGTGTCCTCAGGGTCAGCTCGTGTGGGGCAGCGCAGCTCATGCCTTTTTGGGGGTGTTGGTGTCTGCTGCCTGGGGCTGTCACTGCAGACTTCTGTCATGCTGCAGTGGGCTCCCCTTGCCAGTTCTATTCCTAGTGCCCCAGATCTGCCCAGAAGCCGCAGCAAGCTCAATGCGCTGGGCACATGTCAGGATGCGGCCAAACCTAGAGCACCTGGGTCTTCCCCTCCCCACAATTAATAGAACTTATTTTTGGAGCAGTTTTAGATTTACAGAGAAATTGGGCAAGTGGTGGTGAGAGTTCCCTTCTGTCCCCACCCCCGCCCGCTTTCCTTATGGGAACATCCTGCCTAGCTTGCTGGTGCGTTTGTCTCCTGATGGCTGATACTGACACGTTGTTAATGACAGTTCACACTTCACTGGGATTGCCTCTGCTGTTCCCTAATGGCCTTTTTCTGTCCCAGGGCTGCTGCCAGGATCCTTCCTCAGGCTTCTCTGGGCTGGGACTGTTCCCCACATGTTCCCTGTGTTTTGTGCCCAGACGGTGTTGGAGGGGGGTGTCCAGGCAGATGGAAAGGTCTCCCTCGACTGGGGTGTGTCTGGTGTTTTGCTCGGGTGAGTACAGGGTGGAGGCTGTTGGGAGGACCTCAGCGGTAAGGGCCCTTCTTGTGACATCCTGGCAAGTATCAGGACGTGGGCCATCAGCAGACTGGGCTGGAGCTGTGTAGCCGTTGCTGCTGCCTTGACAGCCTGGCTGCAGGGGTTCCTCAGCCTGTCCCCGGGACACTGTCCCCCAGGTCCCCATCCGTGCACTTGTGGACACTGCACAGCCCGTGCATAAGGAATGGAGAGCTGCCTGGGCCCCCACCCTCATCCTCCCTCCTGGAGGGGCAGTGGAGACGGCCTAGCCCGGCGCCTCATCCGTTGTGGATGGGGCCAGGGTGGACAGAGGCCTAGGCTCACTGTGCCTTGAGAACTGGGGCCCAGCCTCAGCCCCAGAGCCTCCAGCCTCCCAGCTTGGAGCAGGCACTTTTGGGGCCCCAGAGAGGAGGGCAGCAGGACCTGCGGTCTCAAGCAGCCTCGGGGCAGTACCGGGCTGGGGTCTGTCCAACTGACAGCCTCAGGGTCTGGTGGCTTCCCTGCCTTCTGGACCACGTGCTGAGGGTGGGGGTGGCCTGTTGTGCAGCGGGGGAGACAGCTGTGCAAAGAGACAGTTATGCGTGGCAGGGGAGACCCAGGATCCCATGGGGACCTGATGGCAGCCAGAAGCAGCAGGTCACAGCAGAGAGATCTGGGAGGCTTCTGGGAGTGGAAAGGCGCTTGCCTTCCCTGAGGTCAGGGAGGTGCCCTTTGCTGCTGTGCCAAATGACCACAGGCACGGCGGCTGAAGACAGCACTGGTTCATTCTCTCCCACGCCCGGAGGAGTCTGGGGCAGCCTCCCTGGGCTAAAATCACGGTGCGGGCAGGACCGTTCCTTCCGGAGGCTCCCGGAGAGGGTCCATTCCTTTACTTCCCCAGTGTCTAGAGGCGCCCGCAGCCCTTGGCTTGGGGCCCTTCCCCCCCTTCACAGCCACAGCGCAGCCTCTTCCAGGCTCTGACTCACTCTCCGTCCGGCCTCCTCTCACGAGCTCCCTGATCATCCCCTATCTCAAGATGCCTAACTCAGTCTCATCCGCAAAGTCCCTGTTGCTGTGAAAGGTGAAACAGTCCCAGGGTCGGGGGTTAGGATGGTGACGTCTTTGGGAACCATTATTCTGCCGGCCATAGCTGTGTGGAGAGATTCCTGAGTGCTTACGTCCTCGGGTTCAGCTGGCGACAGTGTCAGGGGCTGGCCTGGGCAGGCGGAAGAGGTGATGAAACCCTTTGCAGGGCACTTGGCTGCTCATCTGGAGCAGGGGAAGAGGTGCAGCCTGCGGCCTAGCACCTGCTCCTTCATACCTGGCGTGTGGCCTGTGGGAAGATAGGGTAGTTGGATGAATGAGCCGTGCCCAGTGATTTTAAAAAGCAGATTAAAATAACATAGAGAATGTCAGAGCTCATTGCATGCTGTAGGGCATTTGTGAAACTTGCATTAATTATTTGTTTTCTGAGACAGGGTCTCACTCTTGCCCAGGCTGCAGCCTTGAACTCCTGGGCTCAGGTGATGCTCCTGAGGAGCTGGGACCACAGACACCTGCTGCCACGCCCTGCTGTTTTAAATTTTTTGTAGAGACCGGATCTCACTATGTTGGCCAGGCTGTTGAGATTCTTGGCGTCAAGTAACACCCCCTCCTCATCCTCCCAAAGTGCTGGCATTACAGGCATGAGCCACCACACCACTTGGTGGTGTTTATTTGTTTGTTTGTTTATTTATTTTGAGACATAGTCTTGCTCTGTTTCCCGGGCTGGAGTGCAGTGGTGTGATCTTGGCTCACTGCAATCTCTGCCTTCTGGGTTCAAGTGATTCTCCTTCCTCAGCCTCCCAAGGAGCTGGGACTACAGGTGCCCGCCACCACGCCTGGCTAATTTTGTGTATTTTTAGTAGAGACAGGGTTTTACCATGTTGGCCAGGCTGGGTTTGAACTCCTGACCTCATGATTTGCCCACCTTGGCTTCCCAAAGTGCTGGGACTACAGGTGTGAGCCACGATGCCCGGCCACTTGGTGTTACTTAAAGATCTTGGTGAATTGTAAAAAGTGTGCAATAGGCCGGGTGTTGTTGGATTGTGCCACTGCACTCCAGCCTGGAGGACAGAGTGAGACTCCAGCTCAAAAAAAAAAACCCAAAAAAACCATACAACAAAACCAGGGCCCCAGGGTGTGAGCTTCTCTGCCCCGGAGGCCGGGCCCACCAAGGGGACCCTAGAGTTGCTTCTGAAATGCAAGTTGGCATTAGCTAAGCAGAAGGAAGCAGAGGGCAGCCTGAGCTGAGAGCCGGCACAGGCGGGGCTCTGATATGGGTGCTCGAAGGCCTGGGCACCCATCGAGCCCCAGGTGTGCCAAGCCCAGTGGGAGGTACAGGTCAGATTGTGGAAATCTTTTTTTTTTTTTGTCCCCCTGAGACATAGTCTTTCTCTGTCACCCAGGCTGGAGTACAATGGTGCAGTCTCGACTCACTGTAACCTCCGCCTCCCCGCGCCCCCGGGTTCAAGCGATTCTCAAGCGTCAGCCTCCCAAGTAGAGGGGAGTACAGGCATCCGCCACCATGCCTGGCTAATTTTTATATTTTCAGTAGAGACACGGTTTCACCATGTTAGCCAGGCTGGTCTCGATCTCCTGACCTCAAGTGATTCACCTGCCTCGGCCTCCCAAAGTGCTGGGATTACAGGTGTGAGCCACCACACCCTGCTATAAAAGTCTTGATATTGGCTGGGGCGTTGGCTGACACCTGTAATCCCAGTACTTTGGGAAGCCATGGCAGGAGGATCACTTGAAGCCAGGAGCTCGAGACCAGCCTGGACACTGTATCGAGACCCTGTCTCTTAAGAAAGTAAAGAAGTCTTGTTGCCGCTTCCAAAGCTTGGAGTTCCATCCCACATCCATCCTACCAGTGTCCCACTGTCTCTGTGTCCAGGTCCGAGCTCGCTGCCCGGGCTGTGCCCTGGCCCCTGCGGGGTCGCAGCACCTGCCCCTGCCTCCCTCTCTCCCTGCGCTCTGCCTCTTGGTGTGGCAGGGCTGAGGGCAAAACTTCTTGAAAATCTCTTAGTAGCTGTCTGTGTCTGTGTCTTAAGGCTTCCAGAAGCTTCTTTGGTTTCATTTGACTGTTCATGGGCGCTCTTGCTGCCTCAGCCCTGGTTTTTAGGAGCTGAGCCTAAAATGGGCCCTTGTTGGAAACTTGACTGGGTAAAATGCTTATAGTTATAGATTTTTGTGTTGTTAAAAATTGACAAGAATGTGGAACATCTGAATAAAGACAAGTGTGCTCGTGCTGTGTGCAGCTGGCGGGAGTCGGATTTAGAAGTAAAGCTTGAGCGTGCGATCAGTTTAGTTAATCATGCTTTTATTTGCACGTTTTAGGAACGTCACCCTCACTGGAGGCACCTGACAAATCCTAGCCAATTTGTTGAGCACCTCCACCCGGGAACCTCACCATCCAGAAGTAAGTAACACGGACCTGGCCCGCACGTGGCCCCACAGGACCAGGGCCCGCAAGGCTGTGGCCTCTTCCCTGGGTGGCCCGCCAGGGAGAAGGGGGTGGCCTGCCCGGCTCTGAATTCCTGGGATGTCAGGCGTGAGCTGTGCTGGGACAGGAGCCCGCGGGCCATGGTGGGGAGGTTCCTCTGGAAGTTTTTGCAGGTCTGTCTGCTTTGGGCTTGCATCTCACCACCCAACCCTCACTTCACATTTGGGGAGACACTGGGGTCACCCAGAACCCACTGCCCTGTCTGCTTCATGAGTATTGGCCCTGGGGATACCTGGGCTCATGCACACTGCCAGAAGTGGGGAGCAGTTAGAGCAAGGGTCTCTAGAAATAGGAGCTCCTTTTTAAATGCCTTTGGGATAGGTCTGCAGCCCGGCTGCCCTGGGTTTTCTTGTGCCTTTCTTATAAGCCAAGGATGGCGGTTTTAAAGAGGTACCTCTGGTGGCAGCCCGAGGGGCCACTCAGGAGAAGAGAGAGAGTGACCTCATCCCTTCTGGCCACGCCCACAAGGCGCAGATGACCTGCGGGAGGGCATCAGATGTGGGATGCACAGTGCCCCGTTCTCCTGTTGAGGCAGAGGCAGTGGTGGCCGGCAGAGCACTGGGGAAAGCTCCGTCGGGTACTGTGGCATCACTCTTGAAGTCTGCACTGCTTCCCCGCTTCCCTGTGCAGAGGGAGGAACGTGCCCCCTGTAGCTAACGAGGGCGAGTGTGGACTTGAGCTGGGGCCCTTGTGCCCTTTGTGGGTACCTTTTCTGTTCTGCCATGAATAGGACCTCGAGGAGGGTGGTAGAGCCCAGCCTCCCTTTGGAAGGCGTGAAATAAAGGAAGAGGCTCTGGGCACGTGGTTGGCAAACTATGGTCCCTGGACCCAATCTGATCCCCTGACTGTTTCTGTAAATAAAGTTTTATTGGCACGTGGCCGTGTCCATTCACCTGTGCATTGTCTCTGGCTGCCTGCTCCTCACGGCGGGAGGCGGGAATAGCTGGAGCAGAGGGCGTGGCCTGCGCATCTGAAGGTTTTTCCTGTCTGGGCCTGTGCAGATAACCGTGCACCTCCCTCGTCCAGGTTAACTTACTGCTGTCTGGGCAGGATGGACAAGTCCCTTGGTGACTTGGTTTGGAAACTGGCAGCTCTGTCTGTGCCTCCTGAAATCTTGCTTTTACCCTTCGACAGTCAATTTTCTAAAACTCAGCCGTTTTCTTTGTACCAAAATTAATGTAGCACAAACCAAGTAAGTCACCTGCTCTGTCAGTTAGCTTTATTTTTTTAGAGATAGGGTCTTGCTCTGTTACCCAGGCTGGAGTGCAGTCACAGCTCACTGCAGCCTCCACCTCCTGGGCTCAAGTGATCCTCCCGCCCCAGCCTCCTGAGTAGCTGATACTACAGGCATGCACCACTACACCTGGCTAATTTAAAAAAAATTTTTGTAGAGATAGGGTCTCTCCTATGTTGCCCAGGCTGGTCTCAAGTTCCTGGCCTCAAGTGACCCTCCCACCTCGGGCTCCCAGTGTGCCGGGATCTTGGGCATGAGTCACGTCATCCTGCTGCAGTTCACCACACAGCCCTTGATAAACCCACTTTATATCCGGAGGTGCTGAGTGCGGCGACCAGGAGGTGCTAGAAAGTACTCTGGAAGAGCACGGGAGACAGGAGCGAGGGAGCTGGGCGCCTGCTTCCGAGGAGGACCTCAGGGCACACCGTGTGGGCTGGCCGTGGTTTGGCCGGGCCCCAGATAGGAGGCCTTCACTTCGTAAAAAGTAACTTTTATTGAGACGAAATTCACCCTTTAAAGGTTATAATTTGGAGATTGTTGGCATCATGCTAATTGCAGAGCATCTCATTGTCCCAGAGGAAGCTCTGTCCCCATCAGCACTTGCTCCCCATCCTGCCCCCACACCCAAAACCAGACATCCCCTTCCTGCCTCTGTGGCCCGGCCTGTCCTGGACAGCTCATGGAAATGGGATCGAGGACTGTGTGGCCTTTTGTGCCTGACGTCTCTCACTGAGCATGGCATGCTCAGGGTTCATCCACGCCGGGGCCTGCGTGACACGCTCAGGGTTCATCCACGCCAGGGCCTGCGTGACACGCTCAGGGTTCATCCATACCGGGGACTGCGTCAGAGCCTGGCGTCTTTTCGTGGCTGAGTTGCATTCTGCTGCGTGTGGTGTGCCATGCGACCCCTCCCCTGCTGATGGCGTTCCCGTGGTCTCCTCGCTGGCTGTTGGGACCGTGCTGTGGTGGACCTGGGTGCGCAGGTGTTGGTGTGGAATGCATTTCATTTCCCTCGGGCTGATACCTGGGTGTGGAATCGCGGGTCCTGTGGTATCTTCTATTTAGCATTCTCAGGAGTCGCCCGCCCGTTTCCAGGGCAGCGGCACCATTCGACACTCCCACCAGCAGTGCACGAGGGCTGCCTCTGATTTTGGAAAGCCTCTCGGAGCAGTCTCCACTTTCTCCGTTCCCACCCTGGTGCTGTTGCTTGGCTTATTCAAGTATTAAATCATAGTGGTTTCTTCCTCCCAAGTAGAATGCTAGGTTTCCTTGTTAAGGCCTCGTAACTTTTCCTGCACTGTAAAAAAGCACACCTCGAACACCTCACTTTCTATCTCTGTGCACGGATAGTGTCGGGTGGGGGCTGGTAGAAAACACCCCTGACTGGCCGGGTGCGGTGGTTCATGCCTGACATCCAGCGCTTTGGGATGCCAAGGCAGGTGGATCACGAGGTCAGGAGTTCGAGACCAGCCTGGCCAACACGGTGAAACCCCGTCTCTACTAAAAATACAAAAATTAACCAGATTTGGTGGCATGTGCCCTATAATTCCAGTTACTGGGAACGCCGAGGCAGGAGGATCACTTGAACCTGGGGGTGGAGGCTGCAGTGAGCCAACATCACACCGCTGTACACCACCTGGGCGAAAGAGTGAAACTGTCGCAAAAACAAACAGAAAAAGCAAAAACAAAGACAACACGCCGGCTTCACACCGGGCGGCCCTGTGTCCTTCAGCTCTTGGGGTGGGTCACTCTGATGTCATGGGCCGTTTTGGGGAGTGTCATGACCAGGAGGGCAGCTTTTGTTTTTTTCTTTTAACTAAAACAAATGCCAGCCTGGGCATGGCAGCTTATGCCTGTGATCCCAGCACTTTGGGAGGCCCAGGCATGTGGCCTTGATTGCTTGAGCCCAGAAGATCAAGACCAGCTTGGGCAACATGGCGAGACCCGGTATCTACAAAACAAACACAAAAGTGACCTGGGTGTGGTGGCATGCCCCTGTGGGGCAGGAGGATGGCTTGAGCCCGGAGTTCCGGGCTGCAGAGCCGTGACAGTGCCACTGCACTCTGGAGTTCAGGCTGCAGAGCCGTGACAGTGCCACTGCACTCCGGAGTTCAGGCTGCAGAGCCGTGACAGTGCCACTGCACTCTGGAGTTCAGGCTGCAGAGCCGTGACTGCGCCACTCCACTCCGGAGTTCAGGCTGCAGAGCCGTGACAGTGCCACTGCACTCCGGAGTTCAGGCTGCAGAGCCGTGACAGTGCCACTCCACTCCGGAGTTCAGGCTGCAGAGCCGTGACCGCACCACTGCACTCCGGAGTTCAGGCTGCAGGGCTGTGACCGCACCACTGCACTCCGGAGTTCAGGCTGCAGAGCTGTGACTGCACCACTGCACTCCGGGGTTCAGGCTGCAGAGCTGTGACCGCACCACTGCACTCCGGGGTTCAGGCTGCAGAGCTGTGACCGCGCCACTGCACTCCGGGGTTCAGGCTGCAGAGCTGTGACTGCGCCACTCCACTCCGGGGTTCAGGCTGCAGAGCCATGACCGCACTACTGCACTCCGGAGTTCAGGCTGCAGAGCTGTGACCGCACTACTGCACTCCGGAGTTCAGGCTGCAGAGCTGTGACCGCACCACTGCACTCCGGCCCGGGCCATACAGCAAGACCCTGTTTTACAAAATCAAATCAAATCAGTAAAACAAATGCCAAAGGGAAAGAGTAGAGTGCAAGCCTGGCACAGGTTTTTAATTTAAGAGACTTGGCACATGTGTTTCATTTGCTCCTGTCTGCTTTCCCTAGGCCCCCAAGCAGCGAGGAGGTGTGATCGCCCATTTGTTTTCTCCTCTGCAGTGGGGGTCCTTGGGTGGAAGGACTGGGGATTGAGCTTGGATCAAACCCCTGGTTTTATGGACAGAGTTGAGTAGCCGGAGGTGGTGACTTGGGTCAGGTTCCTTGTGAGCGTTTTGTTCCATGGCTCATTCATTCAGCATAGGTGGGTACCGTGTTCCCTCTGAGAGTGTGGCCCTGGTCCCTCGTCTCCTGGGGATTAGTGGCAGGCCCCGGGAGCTCTGGGTCTCATGCCTGTCCTCCCCTACGCCAGCTCTTCTGGGGCTCTCAGGGCATAAGGCACAGGACCTCTGCCCAAGGGCCACCATGCTCAGGCATGGCTCACTGGTCGTGGCTCACATCTTGTGGCTTTGTCTTGAGACTGGTCTGCCTGCTTGTCTTACCACGTTTAGGCCTGAGTGTCTGAAGGAAGTAACGAGCTGCAAACCTCATGACCTGGCAATCCTGCCTTTTGGAGCCCAGGCTTCAGGAGGAGGCAGGCTGAGGATGCTGGGGGCGCCAGCAACTGGAGCCCGCTTCCAATTGCCTTGCTCAGGCTGCTGGCTGCCCCCACAGACGGTCTGGGAGTTAGTTCTGGGACCACACGCGGCTGTTCCGGCCCCACCTCCTGGAGCTCCGTCTCCGTGTATTGGTATTGCAGGGCGCTGGGTTGGGAGAGCTCACTCCAGCGTCTGATTTTCCAGAAACCGTGCTCCGGTCTGAGTGCGCGCAGGCAGAGGCGCCCAGGCTCCCCGGAAACCATGCTCCCGTCTAAGCGAGCGCAGGCAGAGGTGCTCAGCCTCCCCTGAAACTGTGCTCCCGTCTGAGTGTGCGCAGGCAGAGGTGCTCAGCCTCCCCGAG